GCCGGTGTGTACTTCAACAGTATTCAGCAATATTGTTCAGTTTTTCCAAATTTAATGGGTAATCTGGTAAATTTCTCTTCCTGCTTGTGAACATATGAACTCAAGAGCAATTGCAAAAGTTGCTTTCACAGGAATTAACAGGAAAGAATTTAAATTAACGGTCTTAAACAAAAGTTAGGATTATTAGAAGTTACGTAAGATAGTGCTATATGGCTGATCATCTCACCAAGTGCCTTCAGCATTAGGTTTATTTTCTCGTAACTTAAGAATTTTTGTGGTGTCGTCAAGAGCCAAAGGTATGCTGGCAAATCAAATGTATAGAGAAGGGATAAAACAAAGGTAATAACTACATAATGGTAAAAGAATATCTAGTGCAATTGTAGGGTCACATGCGATTGACATTTCCAAGTGGATTTGACATTTGAAAATTTGTGCTGTATTCCTCCGGTTTCTTGGCTGAACCAGGTTTACATTAATTTGACTTACTTTTTGGCCTATATTAAAATGTGTACATATGTGTAAATGAAAGACTATTTGTCTAGTGTATGGTGTGATTAAGCATGCTGAAGCAAAGACGTAAAGGTGATTATATTCTTCTCTCTCTGCAGTATTACTCTGAGGGGGAAAAATACTTACTAAACAGTTATTGTAACACATTTTTAATTTCTGACATCACAGAGTAACAAAAGTAATCTCAGACTTTGTGATAGTTTAAGCAATGTGAGTTTGGCAGAGTTGAATTTTTTTAATAAGACATTGAGCTTAGCGTTAAATCTAATAAAGACTAAATTCATTGTGTTAGGCACTATCCAAACAGAGAAAATATCAGCTAAGGAGGCAAAGATTAGTAGGGAAGGCTGAAACATTCAGCAGTTCACAGAAAGCTGGGAAAAATTAATCAGGACTGACTCTCTAGTCTTACAGACTTTCAATTGTTGTTAAATTGCTTTAATTGCTTAAATTGCTGGCTTGAAAAATGGAAGGGGAAAGGGGAAGAAAACAGTAGCACTGCTTCAAATAAGATTCTGGAATAGGGTTGTTTTTTTTTTTAAAGTAGATTTGAGTCATAAAAATAACTTGCCTGACTGCAGTTAACTGTTTAAGTATAGTAGTTCTTTTCTCTCCCCCTGCTCTTCTCCTTTGACAGGGTCAGCAGTTCCCTGCTATACTCACAGATTCCAGTCTCACTAGCCAAAGTGGGTCAGGCTCACAGCAAGTCATACTGGTGAGCCATACACCCCATTCAGCATCTGCAAGCTCTGATGAAATAACATACCAGGTAGATAAAATTTGTTTCTATATCTCTTGGACAGAAACGATGTTCTGTAATCAAAATACTAAAACGATTCCTCAATATCCTGAAGCAGGAAGGCTGATGTGATTTCCAAATAAGTTTATTGGGAGGACATTCATTGTGACTTCCTAATTATGATTCTCTAAGTTTTGAGCTAAAAAAAGCTCTTTTTCATATGCAAAAAAAAAAAAAAGAAATAAGTAGTGTGCGTCTCAAATTACAGCACCATGCTCTGAACGCAGAGTTCTCTAAAAATTTGCTAGTAAATTTTTGGTTGGGTAATAAAAATACATTAAACTGAGAGGTTTGGAAAATATTAGTACCCGTTGCTACACCTTTTCTAGTCTCTTTATTTTAAGTAAGCTGCTTCAACAATGGGATAACATGAATGCTTTTCAGCTTCTTTTAGATTTGAATTTTAATTGAATCTTTTACAAATACAAAGTGTTAGAAAGGCCAGCAGTAGCAGTATTTGTGAAGCGAAGGAAAGAATTAGTTAAAAATTAGTTTTATATGATCTGGGCCCTTTTTTGGGAAAATGTCACTTCCTTCAAATACCCTAATTGTTTAAAAAACAAACCAAAAACCCCTAAGCATTAAACTCTACGCCTGTGAAGTTTTTGTTCAATTTTAGTACTTCTGAAACTTTATATTTTGGCAGCTCAGAGCTTTACTTCCTTGTGAAAATAGAGTCCTTGATGGTGAAATTAAACAGAAAATACTTCTGTAATACTGTAGAAAACTTATGAAAATCAGATAAATATTTCAACCAAAGAAGAAAATATTTTTATTTTTGAATTTTGTTTGGGAGAAAACAGAGCCACCTGAGATGTTCAGCAATATAAAACAGTATAGGAAGAATTCTATACATTCAAACACATTCTATTTTTCAGACATAAATGACTGTTGATCATAGTTATTCTGATATTTCTGTTTTTTTTAGATATGTACACTTGATCATTCTTGAGCAATGAAATAGAATTCTGTATTTACTTACAATTTGATTTTCCCGTTTGTGTTAGCAAGTTGGTTGCAAGTACTCTCCAAACCCTGGTCAAGTTGGGGTAGATTTTGGAAAATAAACCACCATTGGGTATGCCTACGTAATTATTTGACTATGTTTAAATTGTTATAGGTGACAGAGGTTTCTCCTAGTGTGACTAAAAGCAGTCAAGCAGAAAAAGAAGGTCGTGTGCACCAGTGTTTTGAGTGTAATCAGACCTTTTCTTCCGCCACTCTGTTGATGCACCATAGTAAAGAAGTCCATGGCAAAGAGAGAATACACGTTTGCCATGTCTGCAATAAAGCGTTTAAACGGGCGACACATCTCAAGGTATCTGGTAATAACAGATGATTAACGTTAACTCATTTTTGTGTTTTGGACTTCTTGCCATGTTATTGAAGGACACTTGTCATGCCTTTAACTTCTTAGTGTGTGAAATACACATCTGGGGGAGGGAGTCTTAAGTGATAGTATGTATACAGACAGAGAACTTATCTTTGGAGCATAGAGGAGATTTTAATGCACATATTAACTACAGAATGAAAAATATGAATCACTAACATGCAAAATAGTAATGTCAGAAGAGGAGTTCATTTATTTATTTATTTGTGGCGTCACTGCCAATCCTGATTTGCAGAAATGCTCTTAGAGTCATCAGAAGCTTCTTGCTTTGCACTCCATTTGATTTTTAGATTCTCTGTCCTATGGGTACAAGAGGCACCTGCAGAGAAAGCATTTGTTTTAAAATATCTTTGTATTATTGCTGTTGCCTAGTGCTATTTTCTCTCTAGTTTTCTGTAGATTATGAACAACCTGATAATAAGTCTTTTCAAAAAATTCAGTGGTGTTTTTAAGTTTTTAATTACGATTATAGAATGTTTTTTTCCTATTAAAAATATTGGGCCATATGTAGTAGACTATTGGTCTATCCAGGCGAGTATCCTATCTCTGAGAGATGCTAAACGCCAGTGCCTGGAGAAGAACTTCAGTAAAAGAGCAAGTATTTAATATATCTTCCCTAGATTTCTTCCATCTTCCCAGAAATTACAGGAGGGAATTTCGGGAAGCAGAGGTGGTATTTTTATATCTAGTAGCTCTTAGGAGAGCTTTTCAGTAGATTTCCCTTTACTTTTGTATCATATTTTAAGGAAATAAACCCCGTTTATGAAGATCATCACATTGACAGTGATCATGTCTGTCAACCAGGTAATTGTTTCTTGGGGAAACTGTCGCAAAACTAGGTGCTGTGAAACTCAGTACTTCTCGTTCAGTAGGAATTTTCCAGCAAAAATTTTGAAATACACTATTGATAATTTCAATAGTTTCAAGATTTCCTTGAGTAATAATTGGCAAAAGAACGGGTATCAACCTGTTAAACATGTTTTCTTAGAACGAATCTTGCATTTCTATGTAATTAAACCTTTGAACCTTTCATAACTTTCTCTGCAAAAGTGAGATTCAAATAAAATCTGTAGTTCAGCTCAGATCAGAAATAACATGGAAAAGAACTCCTTGTTAGATGAATTTAGAGGGATGATAGAAAAACACTGAGATTGGAAAGTTGACTTCCTAGTTGGATGTTCTCTGATATGAAAAAGTCTTATGTGCTTTCTTTGGGATACTTCTTGAAACCACAGCTTTGTATTAGGAAGTGCTTCCTGCTTGGTGTACTGGGCCATTTTTTATCATCAGATCCAAAGACATTAGCATTTGCCAAAGATGGCATTTTGTTTGTTCCTTAGGAAGGAGAATAATGTTGTACAATATATTCAAAAATTGGAGAGTGAAACTCACCAGCTGAAGAGCAAGTTGCAACAGTTTCTTTTTCTTTATGTGCACAAATACAAACTAGCAGAGTGAACTTAGCTAAGTCTTGGGGCATTTCATCACAAGATTTGGCAGAATTTCATACACTTTGTTACAGCTGATCCTCTAGAAGCACCGTTAATCTTTTCCAGCCAGCTTATTCACTCCAATTAATGGCTTTTTCATTAAGATGTTCCAGAACAGCAGCCGTGAGCAGCCTTTAATAGGAAGTTTTACAAAGATTAATGAAACCGTGGCCTTGGGAGAGGTTCAGTGTTGAATGATCTGTTATTCAGGGAGTTGCATACCAATACATGAGCTGAGGATAAAGGGCTCCTTCAGAAAGGAAATTACTTATTCTTATTTCTAATTAGATATTGGTAATTTGGGATCCTGAGATACTTCCTGACTGAAAATTATGAGAATGACGCAAATAAGCTTATACAACTTAATACAAGCAATTGAAGCAATACTAAGTATGTGTCCAGAGTGGTGCTTGCACTTTAGAGCAGTGTATTCCCCTGCATTATTTTCAATAGCATAGGTCTTATGGGAAAAGCTTGAGGATGGCAGATGAGTGACTTGAGCTTGAGCTTGACTGGCAGATGAGTGGAGCAGAACTACATCAAATTTTTTCTTCAAAAAGGTGAGAGAAAGTTAGCTCACCTGTTTACTTTCAAGTTCAAAACAAAAATTTTTCTATGGCAGGCAGAAACATGCAGCGAGCTTCAGATACTTTCTGCAGCAGATCTTAACCTGCTTCCAGCATTTTTGATGCTTCAGAAAGTAATGGAGAAGATAAAAACGGGATGTCGTCTTCACCTGCAACTAAGTTCTGGTTTATGGATCTCCTGTGATTTTTCTGAGAGGACAGTTTATTATCCCCCCTATAAACCTTCTTGGTGATTTTTCCAGTGAAAACAAATTCTGCAAGCACAGTTTGCTTTACTGCATGGAGTGCAGAGTAGGACCTTATTAGACATCAAGAAGGCTTACTGTTCAGGTGCACAAAAGATTTTATTAAAGACTAAGAAATAATATCAACACATTTGAGAAAATAGGGAAGCACTCACAGTACTGTTCTGCATACTGTTCTTGATTAGAATTTTTTTAACTGAATCGTATTTATATTATTTTCTTTCTTTAATTAGCTGGATTTAATCTCGATATTAATAAACAAATCAATACTGCTCTAGTTAAAATAAAAAGGTTAATACTTAACATAAGATACTCCCTTTAAATTTACTAAACCTTTTTTGGATCCAGCATTTGTGAATTAAAGCATTTAAGTTAGAATTGCTAATAATATGTCCTAATAAAGATAAAATGTTATATACCCTCATCCTTCTTCCTTGCTTTTAAGGTATTAATTCAGCCATTCATTTTGAAGTGCTTCCATTTGCACTTTGATGTGCAGCTGTGTGTGTTCTCACAGTTCTCTTTTTGAGGCCTGTGCAGTTTTATAATGATACTTGTTCAGGTGCCGAGCATGAATACATATGCATCTGGAGAGATGATACTGTGGAGGGGAGGAAAAAAGTCCCGTTTTAAGTTGAGATGCACATTTGCCCAAAATCTATTTGTGTATGAACTTTCAAAGAGTTGTGGTTTTGATGTAATGTTTTTTTATTTTATCTCAGATAGTTTGTGAAGGACTAACGTATGCAAAAAAGTAATGCATACGCTTATTGACAAGAGGTTTTCAGAAATGTGAGGTTACTGATACTTCAGCCTTACAAAGAGATAATTTACAAAAACAGTATTTCTCACTTAAAAAAAATGCAAGCCTCCATCTTCCTGCTGCTTGTCTGTTGATGACTAAGATGCTCTGTCTTAAAAATGTGAATGTTTTTGTATGTTAAACACTGAAGTCTTTTGAAATGATCCGAAATGTATCTTTTCCCATACTGGTTTAGGAACACATGCAGACCCACCAGGCTGGACCTTCACTGAGTTCCCAGAAGCCTAGAGTGTTTAAGTGTGATACTTGTGAAAAAGCTTTTGCTAAACCAAGTCAGCTGGAGAGACATAGTCGCATTCACACAGGTAATGCCCAGAAAGGATTTTGTCTTATAAGATTTTTGTCATGAGTATGTGGATGTTCTATTTGAAATGCTCGTTCAAGGATTCAGGTAACTGCATTAAAATACCAACTTTGGCTGCGTATTTTGGGACTGGCTGTAGTGCAATAGTGACAGGAATGCTTGAGCTTGTACTTATTAAGTCACTGAAACAGATTAATAAAAGCACATTGTAAATCATTGTTTAAAGTGATTTAAAGAAAATATATTTGATTTTTTTCAAGCATATAGGAGAGTGTGCAAATGACTGCGTGAGTTTAGTGGTTTAAAGAAGGGACAATCTTGACTGCTGATATTGACTGCTACTTGTGATGTTACATTGTTATTAAGCTATTTTTCAGTTTATCTAGTTGCAATGCTAGTGCTTTTAATTTGTTGTGTTCTTTTGTGCTTTATTATTTTCCACAGTTCTTACTCTATAAGAACTGTACTGTCTTCTCCAAGGGAGCACTCATTTTTGTTAAGTGTCCTTTCAGCTTGCAGCTTTTGGCCTACTGCAAAGAAAAGGCTGTACATACTACAGCTCAACTGCCTTCATCTTCACCTTCTGCATCTTAAGAACAGATGGTTGAAATTAAAAGGTTGATACTTACCATAAGATACTCCCTTTAAATTTAGTAATGTTTGTTGCTAAATTCACTAAAAAAAAATGCTAAATTTGTTCTTAAGAACGCAAGTGCTGACTCTAGGAGCTAGTTCTCTGAAACAACTTCTTTCTGTACCACTGTTACCAATCAAAAGCTTTCATGGATACTAGAATTAAAAAGGAATGGGAGAGTTACAGATTTCTCTTCTAATCTTAAAGGGACCAAGAAATTAGACAGGATGTACTCTAGCAAAAGTAGGTTCCCAGAAGTGGATAATTCTTTCCTTCAGTGAGTCAGCCAGAGTTTTCTGGTTCCCCAAAATCATCTTCTGATGTCTAGCTACTGGCTGATGTTCATGCATCTAAAACAAAGTTCCCAATTTCCTTTAAGCTATTCTGTTAACCTTGTCATTTTTTCTGTGGTTAGCATCTCTTGCCTGTCTTGTGGGGTATAATCTCAATTTCATCTTTGACTAGATCTTCACTTCGCATCCTCAGATTCAGTCTTGCAGTTTTTAGTATTGCATCTCTGAATCTGTCTCTGTGTTTTCTTGCTGGCTTTTGCAATATCCTGTGAGATTTGCAAAGAAATGATTTACCAGAAAGAAGGAAGAACTGGAGAAGAATTACTCAAAGGGTTCCAGATGTTTGTGTAGGAATTATATCATGCAGCCTACTGTGGGTTTTCTTGCTTTGTTACAGTGAAATGAATGTGGCCCATTTCAGTTTCCTAATTTCAGCACATAATCCATATGCTGTCAAAGGTAAAACAGCAGCAATTTACACAAGTGTATGAGCTTTGACACGTATTAAGGTTTGTTGGGCAACTGAGAGCCAGGGAGGTTGCAGGTGCTGGTCCTGTCGTTTCACATGTTATTCAGCTGCTGATTAGATTTCTTCGGCAGGAAAGCATAGGAGGATGGATACAGGGTTCATAAACTTAATGAGTGTATGGACTGAATCCTTTTGCTAAGGAAGTCCTGAGATTTGGGAATCCTGAGAGCAGATTAGAGATGTTGCAATGGGGAGGATAAGGGAAATACAAAGGAGATGAGGAAGATGGGTGAGTACTGAGCTGGGAAGGGGTGGAATCCTTATGTATCAGGTTGCAAAAATACTGCAGTGGGGGTAGGATATAGTGGTTAGGTCAGCTGGAGTGTGTTTTAACAAAAGGGAAGTTTTCAATGCAAGTATAATGGGCTAGACTTTAATATTAGTGGGCTTGATCATCCAATTATAGTAAAACTTCTGGTAGGTAAGCAGTAACTCTTGGTCAAGGTGACAGGTATTTGCAGCAGTTCATCAGCAGGGAGCATAATTCATCACTGATCAACTGCTGCCAGTTGGAATTGCCGTACTACAGGTAATGTATAATCCATATATTATAAGAGGTGCTTGCAGCAACGAATGGAAGGTGATTTCTTATCTGTGGGGAGCTAACCTTTGATCTGGCACAGTTTTTCTCACGTTTTAGGGGTCTCTGTTAAGCCTATGTGTACTAGCTGATGGTGAGACTGCTTACATGCCTTCTCCCTTCCCAACAAGAGAATTTGCAGCTGTTGGTGAATGCTGATTGCTCTTTGGGAGAGTAAAAGTGAAGAAAGGGGGGACAGAGACCACAGTCTTTGTGGTGGCTGTGATAAAATAATCTGAATGTTCATTTCGAGGGGCAGGACAAAAGTGACAGAAGGTAAAATCCAAGAAGATTGAATGTCTTCCCTGATAATTTGTTAAATAATACAAGGTTTAGAAAAAGGCAGTTTTCTAGTTGGGAGTTCCACAGAATAATCTGAAAGTAGAGAAAAAGCCCAGTTCCCCACCTTCCCACTTTGTTTCTTGCTGCACGCTAGAATACACAGAGCTCTTCTTAGGGCAGGCTGTGAACAGAACAGAGTCGTTTTACTTATCTGTTTCTTGTAAACCTACACCATCACAGGAAAAATTATTTCTATTTTGGAATGACCTGTAATTTACTCAGTAAAGCCTCAGATATTTTTGGATTTATTGTACTTGAGTGCTGATGAGCCATGAATGTCTGCAAGCTGCAGGAATAAATGCTAAGTATTTGTATCAGGGCTACTCCCTTGAGATAAGGCTCTTCAAGTCTCTGCTCCCTTATGTTGTATATATGATATCTTGTATCTTGATGTTATCAAGTGTAGTTCTGACTAATCACTGGTTTATAATTTCCTATTTCTAAATTGATTTTTATATTATTGTTAACACCTGAAGTTGTTACAGCAGCAACTCCACCCACATGGTGGTTATTCTTTTGGAAGAGAAAGTTCTTTTAAAAATTCTTTAAGACCAGAACGTGCTGTGAATATGTGAATACGTGCTGTACAGAACTCTTTAGATAAGTGCCCTTACATAAGCTTTGGTAGGAAAGCCTCACTTAAATATAAACTGATTAGTTTTCCTAAAGGTACGATCCTTGTCTGTGAAAGAATGTTTGTGATGCCTATCTTGATCAAACGATTGTAAACAATTTATAGCAAGCAATACATACTGAAACAGTGGCCACAAGGAAAATGTGTTTCTCTGAATATTTCTAAATATCTTGTACATTCATATTCATCAATGAAGAGCAGTCTGGAAAAATGTTTCAGAAATGAGAGGGAAGCAGAGGCTTCCACTTCTACCAAAAAAGCCATTTGGTAATCCAAAGGGCTACTTATCCTAGCAGAGTAGAAAACCTGGAGTCAATCATATCTGAGGAAACATAGATAAATTTTCCTTCAAGCCAGTGAAATTAGCATCAGTAAAAATTTTCTATGCCGAGGTTATAATTTCCAGTTCAAGACTCCCCTTTCCTTTCTGACCTATTCTCTAGTCTTATCCAAAAAAAAAAAAAAATTGAATGTTATGTTATGCACCCAGAAAACAGGTCAGCATTTTTCTGGAAAAGTTGATCTACCAGTAGAGGAACTTTGATTGAAAATAATTCATACCCACTAAATCATATATCAAAAGCAGGTGTGGCTTTGACCTTAATTTTGCCATGGCAATGAAGATTGTAATAATATAGAACTTCATTGCTCCAGTGATTTCCTTGAAGTGATTCTGACATGTAGTTGTTTTCAGAAGCTTTAGTGGAAATGCCATGCAGTGGTTACATTCCTGAATGAATTCATTGGAGTAGTCTTTCAAAAACCTTCCTCTCAGACCGTGTACCTTTGGTTTGCAGGTAAGTTACAAGCAATATTCTGCAAACCTTCTCAATTATCTTTCATAGTAAAAATATATGTAGAAGCTTTGTTTTCAAGATTGAAAGATGAATTTGCTTGATTGGTAGCTGAATTAATGCGTGATTTGAACAGTAATCATATCTTCTCCGCTTATTCACCACCCAAATCTGTCCTCCCTCTATATAATTTGACTTAGAGGTATAAGAATATCATTTGCTTCACAGTAACACACAGTAGCATAAGTGTTTCAGGTAGTCGTGGGGAAATGGCATTCTAACAGAATTACGTATACTTCTGTAACTTCTGTTATACTAATATACTTCAGTTAGGATGCTTCATGAGTTCTTTGAAATGAAGCAGTGAGAGCCATACTTTCATCCCTCCAGAAATCAGAGACCTCTATAGGAAGGGAAATAATGTCCTAACCCAAGAAAAACTGTCTGCTTTTCAAGTAGAAAAAAATAAAAGATGCCAAAAAGAGAAAAAGGAAAGTCTGAATTCACAGTACTGATTCTTGCTGTCCCAGAGACACTCTTGCATTTTAGTTAGCCAGGAAGTCCTATTTCATATTCGTAATGTCGGTTTCAGGTTGCGTCTGTGTGCAAAAGCTACGCTGCCCCTTTTCCTCATGAAAAGATCTTTTTCTTACATCTTTAGCTTGCCTTGTTTCCATTCAAGCAGATAATTTTGTTGAGGTAACAACAAAATTTGTTTTCTGACTGGGTTTTCACAGAAATCCTTAAATTCTACGTAGAGAAACTCCGTTCCTGCTTAGCAGGTATAATAACTATACTCAGTAGCAACAAGTGCAGACATAAGTGAGACAAGGTGAAACGTTTGCTTATTAGGGAGCTATTTTTTGCTTATTTTTTGTGCTGGAGACTTTTCTCCTTTTCCATTCATCCTGTTGTTTGGCTGATATTTACCACAATAAGAGCTTTTTCTGTTACTATTTGACCTGCAGTTCTAGTTAATTAATGCTCTACTTAGTTTCTAGTAATCAGCTTCTTGGGAAGTTCCTGTAGCTTAAGATGACCTTTTATTAATTACCTGAAAATTGGATTTAGCTTGGGAGCTATAATGCATGTGGAGATATTAACATATCGGTAATGAGGGAAGAGAGAAATTACTCCTTTAAAGAAAATTGTGGAAAAGTATTTATGCTCCTTCTTAGGCTTTATTGTGCTAACGAATAACAAGATATGTTTGTAAGTTCAGAAAGTGTTTTATAAGTTGTTGGTATCATACACCAGTGTGACTTGTATTGACACCACAGGCTGTGATGTTGAGTGTTGAAGCAATGGTCTGGTTTTACTAAGTAGATTTGGATTTTTTTTAGTGAATATATTACTGAGGTTATATTTAGAAATCAGTAACATTCTGGCAGATTTGGAATAATATGCTTGCTTTGGAAAGTTAGGTGGATCACTAATAGTTAATGGCACAGGAGACCACAGGTCACATAAAATTACCAGAACTCTTTTTTTCAGCAAGTTTGAAGTTCTAGTTTCATACAAACTTCAGCTTTGTTAATACTAGAATGTTATTTATCTGTATTATTGGTAAGCGATGGAAAAAGGTGATGGGTCCCACTGAGTACCGAAAATTCAAACTGGTAATCTAATTTTTTTTACTTCTATATTAAATAGTTTATTTTAAAGGTAAGTTATAAAGGTACACTCTTATACTTGTGAAGACATTGTTTCAAACTAGAGTCTTTTAAAATTATTCAGGTCATCCTTTGTTAAGATAATTTATACTAGATAGGAAAAATAACAATGTCAATGTAATGTGTGATGGTTTAGGAGTCTTATAAATAGTGGGATATTTCATTTGGGTTATGTGGCTGATAGCATAGACCGTTTTGAGATAGATTCAAGAAAAAATGATTGTGTCTGCTTTTAATTTCTAGGTCATCTTAACAATGTTTTTTACTGTATTCTGAACCATATATTTATGTTGAAATGAGAAGTTATGAAATGTGTTTTTCTCTTTTATAAGGGGAACGGCCATTTCAGTGTACGCTATGTGAAAAAGCTTTTAACCAGAAGAGCGCTCTTCAAGTTCACATGAAAAAGCACACGGGGGAGAGGCCTTACAAATGTGATTACTGTGCAATGGGATTTACACAGAAAAGCAATATGAAACTCCATATGAAACGAGCTCATGGTTACACTGGTATGTAGCATAATAATAGCAATAGTGAATGCAGAAAGTCATATCCTTCACTAGAAAAGCACAGAACACTTCTCCTGAGTTACAGAAGAATGAGGCATATAGCAAAAGAGCAAAACTGATAAGCTAGCAGTTGAACCCAAAACTCCAAAAGTAGGTTGAAACAGAGATTGATTAGTGCTTCTGGTTCCTTGTTTTTATGTAGAGCTCTGTATTAAGAAAATAAAAAATTCAGAAACTATTATATGAAAGTAATCCATTATCTTAGACGTTTTTTTCCAAATTTCAAGCAGTGTCTAATGGATTCACAGAATCTGAAGTAGCTGTGTAATAGCTTTCCCAGCATAATTTTTTTTATCCCCAAACCTGCTCTTTACCCGCTCTTTTTCTCATGTATTTTGGTAGGTCCTGTACAAGAACCTGCTAATCATCAAGAACAAGAAGGTGAAGATATCAGTCGTGCTCTGAATTTAGAAGAAGTTGTACAAGAATCTTCCAGTGAATGGCAAAGTATAGGCAATGTTTTTCGATGACACCTTGAAATTTGAAAGCTGAGAATGCTTTCAGGACTTGAACTGCTCTAAATAAGTTTTCAGAAAAGTAAAAGATGGATTTTACAGTTGAAGCTTCAAGCATTGAAAATATTAACAATAGAATAATATATTATAGTTTTTTTTTAATTATTTACAAAAATGACCTAAAAGAATCATTGTCTTTTTTAAGCTTGTAGAAGAATATTGGGAAAACATCATTTAGTCTGTGCTAAGTTGTCTGTGAATCAATGAACTCAGGTAATACTATATACAGTTTCTTCATCTTCTAACTCACAGCCAGTATATCTAGTTGAAAAATAAACTGGAACTTCATATCAGAACAGAATGATTCCCATTTTTAAAGAAGGTGAAAAATAACTTTATGGGAAAATCATGAAACTGTCAGTCAACTTTTCTTTTTTTAATTGTTTAAAGAAATAATTGAAGGTTGGAAACAAAATGTTACTAAGCAGATGCATGCAGGTTGTTTTTTTTTTTTTTTTTAAACAAGGCACAGGAAAATGCTATGTTTCTATTTTTAAGCTTCTTCTAGTGCATTATGAGAATTTGTGGGGGAAAAAATAAATTACCATGAATTTAGGGCATTTCTGCAGCTAAACTCTTGAAAGAGGGAGCAGGTTCATTTCCATTCCAACTGCAAAGACAGTTGATGCTTTATACATTAAAATGTCTGAGGTTTTAAACTCAGCAATAATTATTGAAAGAGAATCCAAACTAGAAGAAGTTAAAATAAAAATGTCTTATGTTTGCCGTATTGGGTCAGCAGGTGCATATCTCATTATCTGTGGAAAGCACAGCCATATACTACAGCCGGGAAGTGAACACAGAGTTTTGTTTGCAGCAGTCAAAGCTAGCTGCGTACTAGGTCACCCATATTATACAGAAGTCACCAGTCTGTAAACAGTTATTATTTCAAATCTGTAAATTCCTCATTATTTTCTTTGTGATTTCTGGAAATATGTTACACTTTTCTTGTTTAAATCATTGTTTCAGCAAAACTACCTAGTTAACAAAGTACTGCTTTGAAAGGTGCCACTTGTTAGGTATATTTGTAACAAAGAAACACTGGAGTAAAAACATAGTCATTTTTAAGACATTCCAAAGACAGAAGCTCTTTTCTTTCTTTCTTTTTTATTTTTTTACTTTGTTTTTTTGAGTTTTATTTATACGTTACATATATATATATAGAGAGAGAGAGAGAGATATGTGTGTGTATGTGTATATATATATAACAGATTATATGAGCCTCTGTGTGGCTGATAAGTATATTTTGTAAATAGTAACCCCAGTTACAGGAAGTTCATCTTTTCAGTTTCATGCGAGCACTTCTAGATCAGTGGTGGATTCATTGTACTGTAATACAGAGTTAACTTTTAATTTACTTTCTGAAAAAAGCAATTGCCCACAGATCCAAGAAGTCCCTTTTTGTAAATATTGTTTATACTTTATCTATGATTCAAACTAGTTATTTCAGATTCCTGATACAAGAAATCACTGTTGTTTTTGATAGGCCATCTCTTAATTCTTTTGTTAACTCTTTGGCATATGTATATAAGTAATATAGTTGGTGACATGAAAAAAACACTTTTGTTATGTGAAATATTTAATTCAAAAACATGTTAAATAATACTACTTTTTTCCAAACTCTGCTTTGTGTATTTTTTTTCAATTTGATTCTGGATAGTAGGAAATTCTTTAAACAGATTTTATTTTTTTTTTGTTAAACAGGAGCGTGCCTCCCAGTGTTAAATCTAGAGCAGATGAAGTTGTTTCAGCAGTGCTTTTCATTCTAGACAAGGTGTTAGCCTTTTAACTGTTTCAGAAAGACATATTTTACTTTGATAGTCATTGTCTGGACATACTAAGCTCATGGTGTAGCCTCCTGTTTACCTATAATAAAGAGTATTTTAAGTTATGTAATCTTAACCCTGAATAAGTTCTCATGTGCTATATTGTGTCTACTGCCCATAAAAACAAACAAACAAAGACAAAAACAACTTTGCACTTTTTTTTTCAGAGAATACTTCATAAACGCAGAGCAGTTTGTTGGAATTTATTTGCTTGAATAGATAATAATACTTTCCAGAGATTTCTATCTACAGTATGACATAAAATTATTTTGCACTTGGTCACATCCAGGTGTAATTCTATCCTTTAAAACAGGATTGTGATTCCTGAGTGCTCGAAAGCATTTATCTGTCCTAGCTGTGATTGCTTTGCCAGCAAGTAAAAGCTAGTAGCGGTTGACACGAAGTGAGCATATGCTAACAGCAGATCTCATGAGTAAAAAGATACCATTTTAAAGTGGTCTGTTCTCAGAGTGCTTTGAAGTCTTGATTACAGGAAATGAGTGCATGTTGCAAGTCTTGGAAATGACGAATAAACAGCATGAGTTAAATAATCCTCCCAGCATTTTTTCTGAATTGAATCTGCCATTCCTTCAGCATTTGGAGTCCTGTCAGCTACAATAAATAGATGTTTTAAACTGCTTTCTCACACGGCATTTGATTTGCCTTTTTTACCCCCCACCCAGTGAACTTCAAGAATCTGATCTGAGTATTATAACATAGAGTTTTTTTCCTTTATTAAGAAAGAGCTGTTCTGCAGCATAGCCCCGGTTACTTTGTAAAGTTGAACTGGAAATTTTCAAAGCAATCTGTCTGATGTTCTGTACAGATACAGAAACTGTAACAGATGTGTTGAGACGTGCAAAATAGAAGTAGATAAGTGGTTTGTGTGGGGGTTAGGGTGGTTTTTTTTGTTGTTGTTTTTTTAAATAAGAAATAGAACTCTTTTCCTAAGGCCTTGTTGAAGAGTCAGATTGTGTTGGGGGTAAAGGAGTAGTGTTTAGGCAGGCTTCCATTCTTTCTGTTTTGATGCAGTCCTAAGCTTATCCTGTAGCCTCAGGGTGTTTGGCTTGTGTCTGTGCTCCTGTTTCTTTTGGTTTATGTCCATTCCCTCCGTGCTTGAAGTGACACACACCTTCTAAAACTACAGATTGTCTTTTTGTATTTCAGGAAAGAACCCTTTACTTAAGAGTCGTGTTTCTGTTTGAACGCATACTCATCAGAGCTAAAAGAAAAGTTTCAGTTGAAGCTTCAGTCTCTTACAAGAGATGTCTGTCGGTAAAATATGTTAAAGTGCTATGTCATTATAAGGAATTTTTTTTTCTTAATAGGAAGTAAAGCCAAAAAGAGGCACTTCCAGCCTCTGAGAAAGATCATTTAGGGGAAAAGGAGAGTGATGAAGGAAAGGAAAAAGCTTCAGATAAGTTCTGTAGTTCTATAATGCAGCATTATGAAAGATATGTCTTTCAATTTCTCACCTTAAATATTCTCTCTAATTCTTGAAGGCTGCTTTCAAAATCAGCTTGATTTTCACATACCCTGTTCAAAGAAGATACTTTGTGTTGTACTTGTTTATGAAGGGCAGGATTCTGTTGCCTGAACATGGGTGTTTTACACCTTGCCGTTACCAGTTTAGCCTGCTGCTCCACAGACACACTGATCTCCCATAAGTCTTGTGTCAGATTGCCAGCCTAATGGGGATGTCTTGGTTGTCATAGGATATCTGAAATGGTCGTATGGGTTGTGCTAAGTCAGCTGCAATGTGACTAGAAGCCTGTAGGGAGGCAACCGAGTCCTGCTCAAAGCGTAATTTTTCAGTTTCTAAACATTCTTCATAAATTGAGAGAAAACCAGAACATTTTATATGTAATGTTTTATGTTACAAAACAAAACTTGTCCAAGTTTCATTACAAGTTGATTACTTTATTTCAATAATGAATTTTTTAAAAGCTATGTTCCTATAAGAACAATACATGTTCAAATTAAATAGACTATTATGTTGCAGAGTATACATCTGAGTGGAGTTACAGTAGAAAAATACACATAGCAACCAATATAGATCAAAGAAGAAGTAATAGGTGTGTGTATGCTTAATAATTTTGGTGTTTTGTTTTCTTTAGTCTCTATGTCTTTTCTATCCTCTCCTTTTTTCATTGCTTCATATTAATGGATACTGATTTAAACCTACAATAGATTTAGTTGTGAAATGGAATTAATATATTTAGGTAACTTTTACTGGGCACTCATTAGGAATGCGGTTTCAACCTGGTAAGCATTAATTGTAGTCTACAATGCATAGGCTAAAACAAACCAAAAAATTAATCAGACACTTGGAGAATAGTTTGAAGAAATAGTAAGTTTAAGTAATAAAACAGTGCAATTCAGAAGAGCCTTTTTTCCCTATATGTGGTTGGAAATACCATTGCCACATATTCATTTTAGTAATTTGTGAACAATTAATATCTGTATCTAACTCAGTTATAATTTATTTCTATGAGGCAACTACAGTACAACAGTTAAATGCTCACAGTAGTTTACTATGAGTTTGCTTTGGTGCGCTGCCGTCAACAGGCATCCAGATATTATTCAGTCAAAAGATGAACTTACCAAATAAAACACTGCTGCAGTACCAAGAGAAAGATTTGGAATTCTAACATGAGATGTGCAGGACTACCTTAAATACCAGTACTGAAGGGCTTTCTTTCCGAAATTAGACGTATTTATTTATTTATGTACTTAATATACTGCTAAGTTAATGCTGTTGCAGCAGAGTTTGTGTGGAGCAACCGTGACTTTCAGTGGTCACGTGTACAATCTTAGATGTTTCTTCTCAGGGAATATCCCTTGTTTCTTTAGTCTAACTCAAATTTGAAATCCTCTTTCTCTCCCTCATCCACTCTTAGTTCTAATGGTTTGGGTGTGATGAGCAATTTATAGTATGGAAAGAACTTCCTTATAACTATTGCTCTGCATCTCATTGATTCTACAACATCTGCCCCCTCCCACGCTTCACATACCTTGAACTCCCAGTGTTTGGTAACCTTTCCATGACTGCCTAATCCTGTTACGAAAAGTAAATTATTCTGTGAGTGAGAGAAGGAAGATTAAAACAAAACAAAAAAACAAACCCAAAAACCCAAATCAAAAAAAGTATTTGGATAAACAGTCCTTACAGCTTCTGCACATAGTAGTTTTTTTTTTTTTTATTACAGCAGTGTTTCAGAAATTCACTAACAGCAGCGCTCAGTATTCAAGACATTAGCTCTGTATTTGTAATTCTGATGCTCAGTTGAAAGAAACCAGAAGACTTGCACTTAAATTAGGTACTTGGGAGAAATAATGAAGTCCAGCATATAGTTAGGGCATCCTGAAGAAGAATGAGTAAAGTCAGAGAGCTTGTTACTTCACCTAAAATAAGGAAAACATCTAGTAAAGCTACTTTGTGTATTCCTTTCATTCAACTGTTGGTCAGGGATTGCCAATAGAAGTTTGTATAATCTACTGCATGCAAAACTTAATTGGCGTTAAGTAATGGATTGCATCTGTCTAGGTAATTCTTGCAGTTGTTATTAATTTTAAGGCAGTTACATTATGAAGCAGAGTACATGATCCTTGAATGGCATCTTAGAGCTTCAGCGCCTAGCAACTGGTGAACCAGACCGTGATCCAGGTCGGGAACCAGAGCCTCCCTGTGAAAGGAAGAACAAAGTTAAGCTAATTAGAAGGTACTGTTCTTTTATGGCTATAAAATATCAATCGATAATATTACAAAATTTTTAATATTATCTAATGAAAACTGTCTGCAGTGATTACACTTTAGACATTGGGTAGACCTTTATTGTCTTGTTAAATATTGTTTGAATTTCCACTTTGAAGAGGGGATAAAAAAGCCTTTCCTAAGTATTTTTTCACATAGGATTAATTCATTCTCATTAAATCTCTCATGCAGAGCTAGGCAGCCTCTCCTGAAATGTTTTTAGATGCCTACTTTTATCCAGGCCTTTGTACTGAAAGCAATTTATTTATTTCCTTGGGCATCTTAGAGATTTATACCTTTCTGGCCATCTCTTGAACTGTTTATATACTTAAAAAAATGCAAACCTTGCATAGAAGTTCTCACAGTCTTGAAATGTAAGCATTCCATTGTGTAATATTTATTAGGGTAAGTTGCTAACCTATGCAGTTATATCAGCATCAGTCTTGCCTCGAAACCACAAATGCAAATACCAGAAAAAAATATGAAGGAATAAGATTAAGGGCTGAATTATGGGTTATTTTTACAAATAATTAGAAAATAACAGTGATATTCTCTATGACTAGACTTGTGCTTGTAACAATTTGTAAACTTGCAATTGAGAAAAGAGTTTATAATTGCCCTACGTTTTAATTTAATAGCAAAGATGAAATCCAAGCTGAAGTTCTGCCGTCTCGTTTTTTGTGGTACTACTCTTTTGGCAAACTGGGTATTTTCTTCTGTAGTTTTAGCAAATTTCTAGGCAGATCTTGAACCGTATGGTTATGATCTCAGCTGTGAGATAGAGTGGTAATTGTTACTGCAGTCAGTTGAAGATTGAACTGTTAACTTTTTTCTTCAAAAATTTTAAGCACACATCTACTTTGGGAATTTTTTTTTCTCTACTCTTAATATTTTTCTTCATTTTTATTTTTCAGACCTTGTCTCCTCAGTTTTTATTGAGCCATTTCAAGGAGGATTTTGTATAATCCATTAGGTAACTGGCATGTTTTTTTCCTGTTAACGTTATCTCAAAGAATGGGTAACAGGTTTGTAATTCATAAAGACAACTGCCCAGCTGTATAAAGAGATAGTTATTGGTGCCTCCTGGAATAAATAATAGGTTTAAATCAGCTAGGCCTGAATAAAATGAGTTATATAAGTTATAATGACTCAGAAACGGCTATCTAAAAAGAAGAGCTGATATATGTTTATCATTGGATACATAAAAATCCAAGCTAATATAGTTGGGATAGTTATGTAAAAAATAGAAGAGCGTATTAAATTTTGAGAAAGAGTAGAATTTGATATTTTCAGAATTTTCAAAAGACAGATTGTACAAAATATTGTGAATATATTAGAAGAGCCAAGATATTGTTAATGTTTCTCTGAACTCAAAAAAATCTGCAAGTGCAGAGAAAATTATACTTAAATTTTATATTTAAAGAGTAAATGAATGATTTTATTTAGGCATCTGAAGAACTCATTCATTTTCTTAAATTCCAGCTTAAGAACTCTTGTTACCTCACTGAAGTATTTAAGCTGTCTCTTGGTGCTGCATATGTTTGAAACAGTTTTACAGTGAAGGGTGCATACATTTTTTATAATGGCTATTCGGGTATTTTTGTTAAAGGTGAAGGTACTGTCATGTCTCTTATTGGAGAATAAGAGCTTGAAATGATAATTTATGCCAATGGTTCTCAGACCTTCTATCTTGAAGTCAAGAATATGGCTGACTTCATTCTTTATATGAGAATAGTATGTTAGATGATTCGTTACAAATGAACGTTTCAGTGCCTATGAGGAAAAACACAGTCATTTGCAGATGGATATGCTGTGCTTTTCATATGTATTTTTCCTCATAAAGAAAGTGAAAAATTATGGGCTATATTCTGCTGAGATGCTATGGATTTACACCATAGTACTTTGATAATATTAATGGAGATTTACACAGGTAAAAGCAAGCCTTAACTGCTTGATGCGTTTTCCTTTTGTTTCGAAGTACACAGTGGATTGGTACATCTGTTACACATGAATTGGGTTCGTTAACTACAAAGAACATTAAATGCATGTTCATTGTATTCGAAGTATCCAGTCGACTGAGTTTGACATTCTGTGTTTCAGGACAATCTCTCTCTGATAAAAATTTCCGAGTATTTGTTTTGTATTTCTAATGATTCCATCGAAAAAATGAAAATCATTACATTTTCAGATGTTTTCTTGGAAGTCTTGTAGTACCTTTAAAAAAATATCTGAGGACTAACCTCTTGACAAACTGTTTACCTTTTTATGAGATGACTTTATGAGGTAAGTTTATTTGAGAATGTCAGACCGACCAAAGCGCGTCATGCTAATGTGCCACCCAGGTCAGTATTTTTTTTTTTTTGGTAGCTGGATCCTGACTTAGCCTTTTCCTGATATGTTTTTGTTTATTCGCTCTCTTGCTGGGGCAGATCTTGGGGTAGTGAATCACACTGGGGAACTGAACCAAATTAAAGATCTGGCAAAATGTAAAGATCTGGCAGATTGTTTATGTTTAGTACGATACAGATTTCTAATTTGCCTTACCATCTGGCTTTACAAGTCACTGTACCAATATACCATTGGAGTTCTCACACCTGGAGTGGGAACAAGCAGGGACTCTTGAAGTTACCATTGCAACTGAAATAAGTGTTTATCAAATTAGACCCTACCTACCTTTCAGGAGCTTTTCGGTTATCTTTCATTTTCACTCTTCTGAATAGTTTTATCAGCAGCAGCAAGTTTTGTCACCTCATTCACCTTCTGAGTTCTAGATCGTTTGTGAGTCTACTGGTAAACGCAGATCCTAGTACAGGTCTTTATGGGACTTCGCTGACTTACCTTCTTTCCTGATGGTGACTGACAATTTATTTTTACTTCTGTTTCCTATCACGTAAGTAGTTACTAGGTCATGAGATAAACTTATGTTTTATCCATGAAAATTCTGTTCCTTTCAGAAGCCTTAGGGAAATGTAGTTTTGTCAAACATGGCACATTCTGGAGAAGTTTGGCTTCTTTTTTTTTCCTGAACTCAATTTTTGTATCCCTTGTGAGTCGATTTATGCTCATAAAATTTTCCACTTCCTCCATATCCTGGCTTGTGTCCTTCACCACCCTGCAAAGAAAGATTTTTATGTATATTAAAAATATCATATTCAAATTATCATGTATTCACATTGTAATCTTTGTGATTGCTGAAATGTAATACTTATATTAGAAATTTGGAAGCGTTGAAGAAAAATCATCCTTTAGATAATGAACAAGGATGAAGGAAAAAGTTAGGTTCTGAACATATTCAAATCTGAGCACAAGCACCAATCTGCAATAGAGGAATTAATCAAAAGTGGACACTCAAATGCAGGGTGGGAAGAAAATGATCAGAAAGTGATCATGAAACAGTTAAAAGAATACTAAGAACAACTACAGGTCATGAGAAGGAAGCCTAATTTACTCAAATTTTGTTTAAAAATATATTGAATGGCACATGAGGATAGAGCAGAAGAAGAAAAACTGATCGTGATTCAAATCATGTTTGTTCTCAGAGTAGACTTTACATTTCAGATTATTTTCAGATTACTTTTTAGTCCTATCAATTCTTTGATACATGTTACGAGGGAGGAAAAAAAAATTGAAAGTTTCTTTCTGTCTTGTAAAAGAATGTTTCACAAATGCCTTTGCTTTCATACAACTCTGAAAGAAATGTAAAAGTTGAGATTTTGGTTATGTCTATGTCATTGGATACAAATTGACCTGAGCATGCTATATTCCTGCTAGTTCTACGGTCGGAAGCATGGGGCCACCCCAGATAGGGGAAAACTTGTCAGCTTTGAGCCAGCTCATGTAGTGTTGTATTCAAGTCAAGAAAGCCGAACTGCTTCCACAGTCATGATGCTAAGTCAACATACTTTGCAGATACTGACTGACCTTGATAATCCATTTTGAACATAGAATGTTTTTAACTTGAGTTTTTTTTCTTTGCTGAATGATTTACGTTTTGGACTTGCAAAAAGCAGAACAGTAAGCTTGGATAATTTTTCACTGTGTGTCTTTTTGTTTTCTTGAGCGTATTTAAGAAAGATGCTGGACTGTGAGATTTGGGTACCACATTACTCTTCAGTGCGAGCAATGCCATATGCCTGTTTGGGAGGAGATTTTTAGAGATGTAATGTAATTCAGTGTATGTATATTGTAATCTATAGACCTGGTTATTAAGACTAATAATGTTTTGTAATTTTACACTGTTGTCAAATGTCACCTGAAGCCTTTAATCGTTTAAGCAGAGGATGAAACTATCGAAATCACAGATGCCATCCATGAAATTTGTATTTTGTACAATCACAGTGCTTAGTCAAGAGAGCAAGAATGATGCTCTGGCATTCAGCTTAATTGTTTAGTCTTTCTAATGTAACAGCTGGAATTGGTTTTGGTTTTGTTAAATAATACACTAAAATGGTGAAAGCATAAGCCAAGGATATAATGCTAGTACTATCAAACTTGCTGTTGAAGAATGAAGACTAGCTTGTTTGTAGAGAATAACCTTAATTTCTGAACTTTTAATTTTTTGTGGGAAACTCTTCATCTAGGAGGTACTATGCTTCGTCCTTTAAAAAGGACAACATGGTGAAGTCTCCTTTTTTTAGAGCCAGGAGTGAACCCTCTTTAGCTTTCAACAGGATCTGATTGTGGAATTACAGTAATAATGATGATTTTGATACTAATTGTGCAGCCATTTAGAACATGCACCAATTTCAGCAGAAGGATACAAAGTGGAAGGATACCCCCCAGAATAGTTGTCTGCTCCATAAAACGAGTAGCATGAGAGAGATACCTCTAGAAAATGTGTCAGGTGGCTTATGAGGCAATAATTAAAATGAATATTTTTTGAAGCTTTTAGTAGCCTGTGGCCATAACCACAGGCATGGCAATTCAGTTTGCTGCTAACTGGAAAGATTTGCACATTCTAAAGTCAGCATGTTTTAAGACCTTATGGAAATAGAAATCCCCTGATTATTGGCTTCAGAGAGAGTTTTATCTGAGTATGGGTTAAAGACTTTGGGCTTTGTAGAGAATATGAAAAATAGGAAGGCAGGTTAATATATCAGAATATTAACCGACGGGGCAGCACTTTAACGTTTTTCAGTTTCACAGGTTCTAAGATGATAAACACATCAACTAAATGTATGTTCTACTGATAAATGGTAAAAGAAATGATTAATGGCTTTAAAGCTTTGATACGTTGTATTAAAGTGCAAGTAATTTACATGTTGGTCCCATATATAAAAATTAAACCTGTGGTAGAGAAGTAGTATTTAATTAGTTGTGAGATAATTGTAGAAAGAACTTGTCTAACAGCCTTTTAGGCAGATCTCTTCTTACTAAAAGATGTTTGCAAGGAAAGGTAAGACAAAATATTTGAATTAGTGACAGCGTTAGCTTTGCAGAGTTTAGTATTTAAGAACAACTGGAACTGTGGAACAAGTTTCCATTGTGTCCCAGCCCTGCCTTCCTTTGTTTTCCTCTTCCCATGAAAAGAAAAATGCAGCAGATGAGTCTTCCAGGAATCTTAAAGGAAGAGGCTTTTGCCATGCGGTGGATTTTGCTCCCTTTGTGCTAAAGCAGAAGAAATTATCACTGCAAGGCTGTCAAGTTGCTGGATGAGAGCAAGCAACAAAATTACCATCTTAAACTGCTGTGGGAGAAGGGAGGAAAGTGGGATAGGAAAAGCAAAATAGCAAAATTGAGACAAAACAAAATTATCACGTTGCTGCAGCAGCTTGAGGCAATGGAGCAAGATATGCTTTGGCCTGGTAAATAAAATGCCTGTTATTGAAAGCACATTTGTCACCTACCCAGCTAAATCTGGCGAGGGATAATCCTCTTCCCTGTACATGTAAGAAATAGAAACAATGACATGATGATCACTATGGAACATAGCACCTGCGTGTATGATACACAGAAGAAGAAAATGCAGTAAAAAAAAAAGAATGAAATATTGGCCAAATAATGAGGCATTGAAAGCAACAATCTGCGTAGAGTTATTCCATAAAATGGAAAAGGCAAAATTCGCAATTAAAATGACAAGAAATAACTTCATTAGCCACAGTTTCAGTGTCATGTACGTAAGGAGCTAGCTGAGTTTGGTAAACATAAGGACGGTCTCAGGTGTGTGAAATTTGTTTGAAACCATTGCCTATTATTTGTTAGTTACATAAGTAATCACAGCATAGTTTGAATAAAAAGATCCTTGCGATTGGCTTTGATTTGTTAAAAGATTGTGCAGGAAATCAGGAAACACATGAGAAAGAGAACTGTAGCTTTTCTATCTTAGTCCCTTGTTTTAAATACTACCAGTAGCTCCTGTTTGTTAAGGAATACCATAAAAGAAAATACATCAGACTAGCAGTTGAATTGATACCAATTAGCCCACAAAAGATACTGGCTATTGCATGAGCCCCTGAAGACACTTACCTTTGCTTGCATTGGGGGAGGAGTACGGGGTGAGACCTGGAAATCAGTACAAAAACTTAATAAAACCAAGGCAAAAGTATATGCAGGGAATCATCAAGCCTTTTGTATATTATCTATGCGTTGTTATGCCTTACGTGTTAGTTGTTGTCTAGCTTCATCCTGCTCTTCATTGCCTTGTGAACATTTCAAAATGCCCGTTGTTAGCAGATGGTTCAAAGATTAATTGCAGTGTTAGTATTTTTCCATCATAAAAGTTTTCTCTTTATTGTTTTAAACCTATTGTAGGTCTTACACTTTAAATCCAGTAATAACTCTGTCCCACTCCAAACTGATAGGGTGTTACTTTCACAGTTTTAAATGTCAGCATTGGGACACTTGATTTGTGAAGCTGGTTATCAATAGAGATAATAGAGCTATTTAGATATACTTCTGGTTTAGGGTACTGTTATCCTTTGCAGGTTCTTTATTCAGCATTTAGGCATGAAAATATTGAGATCCTTGTTTCAGAAAAAAGTGAAGAGTGAAATCGGTAGTATCAGCTGTACAGATCAAAATGTGTGGTAAGATGTATTGCAAATATAATATGGGCAGTCTCTGTTTCTAGATAGTAGCTATACAGTGTTTTAAAGGGCAAAATACTGCTTTTTGTTATGTATTTACACAGTGCTCAAGAATTTAATTTATGAGGAAATTCCATCTTTCCTGGATATTTCTTGTGAGAGTTTTAGTGGTGTAAAACCAGCCAAATTCAGAGCTCGAACAAATTCTTACTGTCTTAAATGAGATCATCAGGAAAAAGAGGTTGGGCTATTTTGCTTATGGTTTCAAATGACATCCAAGAGTGTAAGCTATTTCATAGTTGGGAGTAAACTTACCACATCCATTAAGTGCTATCTAAGGAACACCAAATACTAAGAGAGTACTCTACTAGACGTTGCATAGCACACATTTGACTTTTATCTGCTTTTAAATGGAAGACATTCCTAAATATGGCCAACTCCAAAGATGGAACCGCATAACACCGCAAAACGGTGAAGCCGTATAATTGTAATGATTGTTGTTGAAATTCTGCTATGCTAATGGTGAGTTCACCCACTTTTTTGTAGCTTTTTATTATTGCTTTCAGGTAAAATTACTCTTGTATCAAATATCATGATCGACTCAAAGGCAGACTTAGTACAATTCATCAGGTTCAATATAACGGCCAGTGATTGTGGTGTATTTGGTTATTGATGAATCCTAAACAATTCTAGTACACGACAAGGGATGAGACTTACAATGTTCTTGAAGAAGTGGACTACGGGGTTGTCATCACCAGGCCGCCCATGCTGAGACCTCTGAGGGATGGACCCTACGTGGCTAGCCCTGGCTGCATGTATATCCTGAAAAGCAGAATAGGTATAGTGCCAAGTCAACCAGGAAGGAAAGGTAATTGGCCACTGTATGAAGGAGAAACTCATTTTCACCAAGCAAAGAAAGAAAAGGAGAAGAGGAGAAAAATGCCTTATTAATATAGAGAGCTTGCAATTCAAAATTGTCATTGCTCTGATGGAGCAGTTTTTTAATACAATGGTAAGTAGATAGTCCATACGTGTTAGTTTGTGCATATATGTAAATGCCGTTTTTAACATTATAGCGCAGCGTGGTGGAACTCAGCTTGTTACTAGAGGGTTCTGATAGCAGAAACTTTAAAGTTTTCATTACTTCATAAGAAGGATCATAAAATGCAATTTTAGAAATGAAACCTGAGATGGAAAAGAACTTATAATGATGTTGAGTCATTCTCCATGCAAGAGCAAAAACGGGTTGTGCATCATTTCCTCTGTTTTCACGCATTACTTAACACTGAGGAACTTGGAAGAGCAAATTTTTTGAGAATGAGGGAATCAAATGAGACTGACTACTTTCTCTTTTCAGTAGCGCTTCTAGTGGCAATACAGACAAAACTTCCGTAAGTGAAGGTGAAAGGGCAATAATGATTTTTTGAAGATTGAATACCTGGACAGGTATCTGTTGCAGTGAAAATAGTGTCCAGAATTATGTGTAGTTACCACTGTACTAATGCTGTGTTACTAAGTTTAAAAAAGAACCATGGAATAAAGTGAGCCAAACATGAGCATCTTTCCATCATTGTGAGTGTGGAGACAGCAGCTTTCACTGTCAGTTGCACAGAACCAAACTATGTTCAGTAGGGAAGAGAGAAGGAAGCAGGGAATGAAAATAATAGGAACAAAATGATTCTCTGTGTAATGAATCCCTGGAAATACAGTGCTACAAGCATCACATTGATACTAAAAAATTTCACTGGTCTCTTAACGTTAACTAGATTTCTGTAGTGAGACAGTTGCTCACATAAGCACTTCCTTAATAGTACAACTTGAATGAACATTTGACTATAAAACAATCTGAATAATTACTTAAAATATAATTTGTTTTCATCATATATAGAGAACATAAAACTATTTGGTGAAAAAGGTTGGTTCTCTTGTTGGAGCAGAGCTCTAAATTTTTGGTGGTTTGGTGATCTTTGACTAATAAATTAATAGCAGTAGAAAATTTTCAGATGTTCTGAAGAGATTCTTTGCATTTTGAGGTGTCTGATGACATACCTTTAAGCAATAAATATCTTTCAAAATGACCCTGGATGCCTCAAGCTATTGATATTGAAAACTGGCTGCACAGATTTACCTGTTCTGAGATCTTTGGGCCTATGGCAAGGGCCTATGAAACTATCTAATGTTACTGCTCAAAGCTACAAAATGGAAGTGTTATTTTTAATGAGTTCTGTCAGATCTTGTGATTTTTGTATGAAAGAGAGATATTTATATTATGTTGGATCATCCAAAATGAAAGAGAGTCAGAAGTAGACATCTCCTTGTGCCGTTAAGCAATTCTTGGAAATAGAATTCAGGTATACTGCTTAGGGGATGAACTTCCTTAGGAAAAAAAGAGTAGCTGATGCAAGGTTCAGCTAGTACTATATCAGTGTGGGGTGTGTGTGTGTGTGGTTTTTTTTTTTTTTAATTAATGCTGGCACTGTATAGAGATTAACTCTTTAAATAGTAGGAATTTCTGAATTTTAGATTGTCTTTGAGATTTCTATACTGTCAGGCACTCAGTCCTGTTTATACTTGTGCAGTAATTTCTACTTTGACAGCAGAAGAGGATCCCCTTAGTTCTCCTGTCAACACGTTTAGAAGTTACTTTGGCTGTGTGCGGGGTTTTTTGTTTGTTCCCCCCCCCCCCCCCCCCCCCCCCCCCCCCAAAAAAAAAAAATCCATATCCATGCTTTGTTTCGGAAACCATTTGACTTTTCTTCGGGAGAGATACCATTGTCCTTTTTCTATTATACTTCTTCCTGAATGGAGTTGCAGAACATGATGTTTGTATCAGCTGCAGATACACTGGTTGCTATCTAACCATAACTCTTACTGTACATGAAACAGAACTTCAAAATTAGATTTGATTGGATATAGCCTGCAATTCTGCAGTGCTCTGTGGATTACCACCAGACACAGAGAAAGTAGGATCATATTTTTTTCACAATTTAGATGAGGTTGAATTACCTGAATCTGGCACTCTGGTTATTATGTGGTAATAATTTTGCTTATTGAAAAAGGGTATCACGTAACAAATACAGACTTTCTCCTATCTGCAGTGCCAAACGTTGAAATAGTCTGATTTGGCCCCCTTTTTAAAGGGAATCAGGTAGTTGCAAGTCTGAACCCATTCTCAGTGATGGTTCTGTATGAATTTAATATATTGTGTTTCCCAGTGTTACAGATGAAGTGTTTTCCTTTCATATTATCCTCATCAAACATTGTTTGCAGTCAGAATCTTTTGATATTATTCTAAATTTGTACCAGGTAGTTAATCTGTTTCCCTTTAATTTATAAACGGCTCGAACTGCTCTCCCCCTTATAGTTTGTTCTTTCAATTTCTGGACTCTTTAAATGGGAAAAAAAAAACAAAACAAAAACGGTGTTTTTTCTGAGATAACATGCATGATACATGAAAATAAGTTCACTCAAAAGAGTAATGACTCATATCTTTAAGGCTTTAAAGCTAAATTTGAATGGATTCAGGCAATAGTCTGCATGCTGTCTGAAAGAGAATATAAATCCAGTTTATCCTGCTAAGATAGTCTCCCAAGGTTTTGTTATACAACTGGACTTTTTAAAAATGAGCTTATCTAGTCACTGCATGTTACCTTACATGCAGGAGACCATCATTTATTTTTAAATATGCTTTAAGCACTTGGCAAAATAAGTATTAACTTTAAAACCTAACAGGAACACAACAGAGCAACCACATTTTTAAAAGGGGTGGTATTTATGTTGTGTTGTTTCTTTACGTTACTGGTCTTTCTCAGCAGGTGGAGCTCCGATACACAGCTTATGTAGGAGTAGTCCAGCTGTTATTAGTAGACAACCTCAGCAGACCTAATCGCAGTTTCCTTACTAAGTCATCTCTGCTGTATATTCAGAAAAGCCAAAAGGGAAAGATCCCTTAATCTGAATAATCTTAATTGTTAGAAAATGTTTGCCAGTGTTTGATATTTAAGCAATATCATCTGGGAGACCTGATGGCACATACTGGGTTTGCAGATTCAGTTGTCAAATTAGTAGTTTAAGGATTAATAATGTAGTTAAGAACACTTGAAAAATGCATATAGAATAACTATAGTTATTCTGTAGTCAGGTTAGCTACTTAATAGCTAAATGGTTTGCCACTTTTTCTGATGATACTCTAGAATTTCTTAGAGCTGTTTTCTTGGGGCAGGTTTTTTGAGAGAAAGATTTAAGGCTTTGACATTTCAGTTCCCAAATCTTGAAAAATCTTGTCTTTTTCATTTATTAAACATGTGTCATCACCTCAGGGAGTTGGAAATACTCGGTTAGTTGGATGCTGTTGACTTTAAAAGTATCAGTGTATTCATTTTTACAAAAGTGAGTATTTGGAACATAAACCGCTGTTCCTCAGTCCAAAGGCTTTGATAGGCCTGTGACAGAGCAGACTTGCCATTTGCAACATATTTTTGATGGTTTGGATTACCAGCCTCTTGAGCAGTGGTGATTTATTAAAATATTTTATTTCATTGTTTCAGTTGGACTTGATGAAGCTTGATTTCTGTTCATCAACTACCAATCACTTCAAAATGTCCATTGCTGTGAGTTAACCTTTGAGTAAAATTACTGCCAAAATATTTACAGTTTTCAACATTGTTGAAATGCACGTTTAAGCACTGATTAAGACCTCTTTAATGCACAGGAAAGTTGCATTATTCTGCTATGCCTGCTACATTATGTATGTTGGCCTCTAAGACAGATGTGAAGGAGTAAATTTCATATTAATGCAAAGAAAGAACACAAGTTTGTTTTAATTTTTAACAGTATCAGTGTATTCCCTGGTAGCCATTTACTTTCATAGCGAACTGATTAAATTTACTGGCACAGTCCATATAAACATTATCGAAGGAACTGTTGGAAAAAAATTGCTATTTCTCTGACTCCATAAGAAGAATCTGTATGTAATTCAGTATGTGCTCCATTTTGGCTTTTGTGCAAGGTTATTACATTTCTAATTGAGCTGAAGATACCTGCCTGAAGATAAACTGTTCAGTTTTCTGATACTGTAGACCTAACCAATGCTCCTGGCGTTTTCTGTGGCACTATATAATTGAGGGGGATTATATTCTGTACTGTAACTATGCTAGAGTCTAGAGGGAGTTGTTTTGTGTTTTATGATAAATTGAGTGGATTAGCTGTAGGCCCTTTTGGTTTGAATGTTTGGACACTGAGTTTGATAAAGTAGTTTTGTGATCATATGTATACATCTGACAGGAGATGTGGTAGGATTGTGAGGATTAAATTAATTTTCGTGCAGTCAAGCATTCTGTGTGTCCTACTTATTTTTGCTTTTGTGTTTGATACTTCAGTGTAAAAGTGATGCTTGGTTATAAGCAGTAGCGGATTTTTAGTGATATAAGAGAGTCCATAAAATACGTATCTGACTTTGCTTAGCCTAAATGTTATATTAGATCTTGCAACTCTTGCTTATTAAGGAAGATTTTCAGATGCATATAATGAGAATCCACAAGAGGATTGCTTATATAATTATGGATTGCATATACAAATAAATATAAGATTAGAGATCTAATTCCCAAAGAGTAAATATTATGCATTAGTGAAAATACCAGTATTAAGACATTGTTTTGGAGTACTGAATGCCGTTTTTCACATTTCTTTCAGTATTATTAATACACAATGTAGTTGTATTGCCTACTTTAAGATGTAAAATGAAAATCTAAAGAATAGCACATTGTTTCTGTATTGGCAAAATGAAAATACATACAAAATATTTTAATTGATTTAAAATGTAA